TAGGCATGGAACATTACATTCCTGCGTTCTTGGTTTTTATACAATATGTAAATGAATTATTTTGTGTAAAGAATCAATATCCAATTAGTGCTTGAGATTTTTGATGATGAGCTCATATTGTAATGTACAGTGCATTTCAAATAGCAAGGATAAACAGGAGGTTCAGCAATTATCCCTTTTCTGCACTCTTTAAGACCAAAACAATCACAGATCCCCATTTCACATTCCATAATGTTCTAACATGCGCTTTGCAGATAATGTCTCAACCACCATGAAACTCCTCTGGAGCATAAAGTCACCCTGCATGGCTCAGGCAAGTGGTGGCTTTTTGTTAAATAGAGTCACACAATAATAGAAATCCAGGACTGGAAGAGACTTAGAGAGGTCATCTATCTCAGCAGGAGGAGCTGTAGTAGAACCAAGTAAATCCTGATGGGTATTTAATCTAAGTTCTTAAAAATTCTCCGGTGATGGGGATTCCACAACATCCCTGAAAATCCTGTTCCAGAGCTTAACTATCTCTCTAGTTAGAAAACAAAGGGTCGTCCTGTGGCATCTTGAAGACCAACAGCTTTATTTGGGCATAAGCTTTCATGGATAAAAACCACGAATTAGAAAGTTTTTCCTAATATCTAACCTAAATCTCCTTTGCTGCAGATTAAGCGTATTACTTCTTGTTTTACTTTCAGTGGACATGGAGAACAATTGTGATCATTCTCTTTTTTATAACAGCCTTTAATATATTTGAAAATGTTATCTGTTCCCCTTCAGTCTTTTTTCTCCCTAAGCCTAAACATACCTAAGATCAAGTTTTCTAAATCTTTTATCATAGTTGTTGCTCTCCTCCAGACTCCTCCAAGTTGTCCACCTCTTTCTTAATATGTGGCACCCAGAATTGGACACATACACCAGATGAGGCTTCCCCAGGGCTGAGTAGCACCAGGACAGTTACCTCCTGTGTCTTACATATGACACATCTTTTAATACATCTTTGGTATATCTCATAATATTAGCTTTTTTTCTCATTACATCAGATTGTTGACTAATATTTAATTTGAGATCCTCTATAACTTTGCAGTCTCTTTCAGTTTGGTGTCATCTACAAATTTTGTAAGCATACAGGCAGTCCCCGGGTTACGTACAAGATAGGGACTGTAGGTTTGTTCTTAAGTTGAATTTGTATGTAAGTCGGAACTGGTACATATTGTAGGGGAAACTCTAGCCAAACATTTCTCCAGAGCTCAGTTTTATTCTCCCACACCTCACTACCCTCAGTCCTTTATTCTCAAGCTGAGGAGTCTGCTGAGAAAAGCCGCTCCTCCGCGTCTCCCTGGTCTGCTGGGGGGAAGCAGCTAGTGCGGGGTTGCCTCACCCCGTTTGTAAGTAGGGATCCGATGTAAGTCGGATCCATGTAACCCGGGGACTGCCTATATTCACATTCCATTATCCAAATAATTAATTAATAAACAATATTGAATAGTACTGGACCCAGGACTGACCCAGTTTGTCAGCAGTCCATTGAGAACTACTCTTTGATAATGGTCTTTCAACTAGTTATGCTCCTCCTGATAGAAACTTCCACTAGACCACATTTCCCTAGATTGATTATGAGAATGTCATGTGGGATTGTGTGAAAAGCTGCAGTTTGGCAGAATTTTATTCTGCATGTATTTATTTTATTAGAAATGTATTTATTTTGGCAAAATAAATCTACCAATTAGAATATAAAATATTTAAAGAACTTTGAAACTTTACAAAGCCATGACACAAGATGCAAAAGAAAAAAAAGCAAAAGTTTAAAAAAAAGTCAATTATCTCTCCCTAGCAGCCAGCTCAGGGCTCCAGCTGGGATCCTCCAGAATGGTTCAGGCAGTGTTCATCAGGACATTTAATGGAGCAGGAACAGATCACTCCCAATGTCAGCTCACCTAAATGACTAAAAAGTTTGTCCAAAATCACTTGTTCGCTGAAGATTGCTGTTGCTCCTCCTATTTAAATTGCTCAGCATATAATCTTTAAATGTTTTGTTGAAGATAGCTATTTATGAACCGGACTGTTTTGATTGCCATGTGAGGCAATGCTTAAAAAGTGGTCCCAGATATTGGCAAATTCAGAAAACTGAATCCTGAAATAGTGATATTTAGTTTATAGGGAAAATAAGCAATTCAATCCAAATCTCAAATTGCAAAAACTATTATAATGGAAGTGTTGGTGGCCTAAGACCATTTTGAATTGCTTATAACTTTGCCAAACTTTAGCCATTTGGGGTGAAATTTTCCATTCCAGGTATTTGCCTCTGTCTGGATATTGTTGGAAAATTTCTTCCAAATGATAGTACTATTTCTGAGAACAAAGCTAGGGAAACTATTATATAGCCCAGTGTTTCTCAACCTTTTTTTTTTTTTTAAATAAAGTACCCCTTTTTAAAAAAAAAATTATAAGCACCCCCCGTGCCTGTAGTTTTCAGACATACATTTTTTCTACCATTGCAACACATTAGTTTAAACAACTTCGTCGTAGCCGGGCAGGCGATGACATTTTTGGATGTAAAAAGTACAGAAATAGTAAAGGGCTTTAAAATTTAAAACAAATTCGGTTTTCTCCACTTTTGAGTTGTGTTGACGTACCACACAGACTTCTCTCGAGTACTCCTAAGGGAACTCGTACCACTGGTTGAGAAACACTGATGTAGCCTATGTTAAAAAATGTTTGTGCCTTTTTATTTGAAAAGCTCTAGCATACCTATGCTTTGGAGCAGGTATTTGGCATTCATTTTGTCAAGAATGTGCAATTTTTTGATCCCATTGATAAATCATAGTTCAATTCACACATGCTCAAAAAAAGATTCTTAATTTCTAGCCATTAAATTTCCTGAGGATTCAGTCTGCACTGAGCATGCACCAGTTCCATTACTGAAGTGATCAATAATGCTAAGTACCCTGAAAAAATGAGGTTCTAGGAATCTCATATTGGGAACCTAAAATTGCCAAATATTTTTACCTTAATCTCTGCGTCTTATTTTTATTTGAAAAATGGGGATACTACTACTTCTTTGACTCGCAGGAGTGGTTTTTGAAAACAAATTAATTAATATTTGACTAAAGTATATAGGAGACGAGTATCATAGAAAGACTCATGAGGAAATTAATAATTCCAACATCTGACTAGGGTTTGAATAGTGGGCAGTAAGTAAGTTGTCGGGCCACACATTGAACAAGGAGAATAAAACAAAATATTGAATAATTGCTTTTTTTTAAGTGAGCATTATCCATTCCATTCATTGACTAGGACACTGATCGTATGGAAAAAATAGTACATTATCATGTAAAGATGGACTGTATCTTAATTTAAAAGCACAAGGTGTCTGAAAAAAGGTTACCCAGTCAGGCCTAATTATGGCATTTTCTAACTTTTTAGAGGTTAATTTTGCAATCTTATTAATGTTCTTTTAACATAGTGGGCGGCTTTTGTGTCATTCTCTATACGTTGTTAAATCACTTTCATCGTTGTAGTGTCTGAGCACCTTCAGAATTACATTAAGCAAAGTGATTAACATCTTGTCACATGGAGTTCATTTTCTTTCTCATCCTCCCCATGTGTACTAGGAATGTTTCAGAGGTATAGGAATACTGACATACTATACTGGTAAAGAGTCCCTAATGTTGGCAAAGTTGTACTTTCTAGTTTTACTAGTAAAATAAGATCACCCCCAAAGAGCAGAACAAGCAGTACAGGCAGTCCCTGGGTTACGTACAAGATAGGGACTGTAGGTTTGTTCTTAAGTTGAATTTGTATGTAAGTCGGAGCTGGTACATATTGTAGGGGAAACTCTAGCCAAACATTTCTCCAGAGCTCAGTTTTATTCTCCCACACCTCACTTCCCTCAGTCCTTTATTCTCAAGCTGAGGTGTCTGCTGAGAAAAGCCGCTCCGCGTCTGCCTGGTCTGCTGGGCGGGCGCTAGCTTCGCATCTCCCTGGTCTGCTGGGGGGAAGCAGCTAGTGCGGGGTTGCCTCACCCCGTTTGTAAGTAGGGATCCGATGTAAGTCGGATCCATGTAACCCGGGGACTGCCTATATTCACATTCCATTATCCAAATAATTAATTAATAAACAATATTGAATAGTACTGGACCCAGGACTGACCCAGTTTGTCAGCAGTCCATTGAGAACTACTCTTTGATAATGGTCTTTCAACTAGTTATGCTCCTCCTGATAGAAACTTCCACTAGACCACATTTCCCTAGATTGATTATGAGAATGTCATGTGGGATTGTGTGAAAAGCTGCAGTTTGGCAGAATTTTATTCTGCATGTATTTATTTTATTAGAAATGTATTTATTTTGGCAAAATAAATCTACCAATTAGAATATAAAATATTTAAAGAACTTTGAAACTTTACAAAGCCATGACACAAGATGCAAAAGAAAAAAAAGCAAAAGTTTAAAAAAAAGTCAATTATCTCTCCCTAGCAGCCAGCTCAGGGCTCCAGCTGGGATCCTCCAGAATGGTTCAGGCAGTGTTCATCAGGACATTTAATGGAGCAGGAACAGATCACTCCCAATGTCAGCTCACCTAAATGACTAAAAAGTTTGTCCAAAATCACTTGTTCGCTGAAGATTGCTGTTGCTCCTCCTATTTAAATTGCTCAGCATATAATCTTTAAATGTTTTGTTGAAGATAGCTATTTATGAACCGGACTGTTTTGATTGCCATGTGAGGCAATGCTTAAAAAGTGGTCCCAGATATTGGCAAATTCAGAAAACTGAATCCTGAAATAGTGATATTTAGTTTATAGGGAAAATAAGCAATTCAATCCAAATCTCAAATTGCAAAAAACTGTTCGATATTTTGGGAGACTTATGCAGTTTATAGTGTGGAAATTTTCTCCAAAGAAACAGCTGAAGAAATTATTATAAAGCTGTGGATGTAACTCTTCATTTAAATATATCTGTGTACCTGTGATAGTGTTGTGTGTTAATGAACCTTGTGTCTTATTTCAGAGAGATTCCCCCTCTACATCCAGACAGTCCCCAGCTAATGGTCATAGCAGCACTAACAATTCTGTTTCGGTAAGACCTCCAGTTTCAGACAGAGAAAGTGTTCAAATTTTGTTGGTGCTCATCTACCATTACTGTTATAATTACATGTGTTCAGTGGAAAAATGTGTTCTGCTGATATATTCAAGGGTACTACAATTATAACTCCCCATTTTCTCCTTTTAAGGGTTTTCCTCAACAACATATTCTTCTCATTAACATTAAATTAATTAGCTAAATATTAATAAGCGTAACATGGCAGTTCACTCATCTTAGCAATTTCCTGGACCTAGTTTCCTCAAAACTAAGTGAGGATTTAAAGTGGAAGCATTATTTCCATTCTAAACCTTTAAAAGAAGTGTTTCAAGGAACATTGCACAGCAGGTGTTTCAGGGTTTTTCCAGCCTTTGAGTTTTAAGAGACCTCTGGAGTGTGCATTCGTTTCCGCTATCTGAGTTAAGGAATTGGTGTGCCCTCTGCTGTTGTGGTACGTGCACAAACTTTGTGAAATATGAGCCTTGCCTGGGTATGAAAAGCAAAAGGAAGTGGCTTTAAACTGCACTACAAACCAAACTGGTATCATCACATCTTTAACACAAAGTACTTCCAGTTCAGCATATATTCATGTAGATTTCAAATATTTCTTAATAGATGTTGCAATTTGTATTGTTTATCATTTGTCATTGTGATGTATATGACAAAACATTACAAACATCTGTATCTGCAAGTTCCTTCTTTAAGATTTCTGTAAGAGTACTGCTGAATCTCAGTTCTGCACACTGTGATAACTTCAACAATGCTGTCACATCAGGAGATTGCATATCAATTTAAAAGCCCAGAACAGAGCAACTAATTTTTAAAGCTAAATTACAATTTAGAAATGATTAGCCACTAGGTAAAATATTCTAATTATAATGATAAAAGATAATTATGTGGAGGAAAATTTCTATATATTTATGTGAAAAATACTGAACTTGCAACATAATAGAGCCACTCACAAATTTATTCCTGGTTACAATTTAACATCTTTCCAAGATAAAATTTAGTAATATTTATTTTAAATATTTGTTATTTTTTTAGAAACACATCTAATTTATGTATTTATTAAGTTGAAAAAGGCATTCTTATAAAAAGCCTCTTTCACTTGCAGGTGCTTTTGTGTTGAAGATGCTGAATTTTTTATTAAAATAAAAGCACATTTTCTATCTGCTTAAACTTTTACCTGCTTTCTTCAGCTTGCCGCTAAACAGCCTGGGTTTGATTTTCTTTAAGAAATAAGCACTCCTAAGAATTGGGTCCATGTTTTATACATATGTGCAATATAACATTTTGCTGCAATGTAACATTTTCCTGTAATATAATAAAATTACACTAACAAATTATGTTGTATGCTCTAAAATGAAAATTTCTTCTCCTGGGTTGGCTTTGTTCTGCAGGACTTGCCATCAACAACACAACCAAAAGGACGACAGGTGAATAGATATCCTCCCTAGGAGCTTTTCTAAATATAGTTGCTAGTAGCCAACCCTTTCTTACCTTTTTCCATTCCATATTCTGTGTGTGCTGCACTATAACATTTAAGCTTGAAGAATGCATCCCATTTTGTTTTTAACTCATTGCATATTGTTAATTCACAGCAATGTTTCTTCCATCCATTTATGTGTGTGTCTGAGACTCTGTGGTTGTTTTAATTATTAAGAATGCATTAATGGACATGTACATGACTGTTCAAATTTGAAACCAGCACTGGTTTTCACTTCAGAGTAATGTAGAGCTTTATGCTGTTCCACAAATTTAGACTCTACTGAGGGGAAAAAAAGAAAGCTTAAAATTATTTATAACATCATTTTGAAAAAACATTAAAAGTGCAATATTTTAACTAGTTCATAACTAGTTATTAATGTTTACTAAATACTAATGATTATTTTTATGAAGGACATTAATCTGAAGTTAGCATTCCATTTATAAAGTTAATTTTCAATCCTACACTTCACCAAAATCAGCACACTACACATTTAGGGTATGTCTACACAGCAGCACTATTTTGGAATAACATCCGCTGCACAAGGATTAAGGGACTCGTTGGAATAGCACTCTGTTTTGAAATTAGCGCTATTTAGACAGCGCCAAATTTTGAAATATGCTATCTCGAAATAAGCTACACAATTTGCGTAGCTCAAATTGCATAGTTTATTTTGATCTACATGCAACTGGGTAGATGTACCATTAATGTATCATATTTTACTCCAGGGTGCAGATTTCTTCTGAAAATTTTGGAGCAGATTTCACAAGGAGTTTAAAGGAGAGAGTTTACAAATTTTGTTTTTCATCACTTTGCTAAAAATTTTTATAGTGTTTAACTTGTATCCCTGTGAACTTGAATTACAGTCCATCTTCATTTTTCCTGTAGTGGTTACAGAGCAGCTTGGTTTTGTTAGACATTTGAGGGGGGGGGGTTGTTTGTTTGTGTATGCTTGTGTGTGTGTGTGTGTGTGTGTAATATATACATACACATGCCTGAGCTTACATGTATTATGTACCTGCATCTCTTTGAAATACAGACTGCAATGTTTGCGTGGTTCCAGCAGTATTTTGTCCTCAATGACAGGTGTCTTCTTTGGGTCAGATTCTGCTTTCATTCTTTTTTTAATAGATCCTTTCTTGGCTATTTATAGGGCTAGGTAGTATTCTGAGGGTGCATCTACACTGTACCCATAGCTCAAAATAAGCTACGCGATTTGATCTGCGCAAATTGTGTATCTTATTTCTAGTGTATTTTGAAATACCACATTATTCTGAAACATTCCTTAGTCCTCATGGAACAAGATTTATAGGGAGGTCAGAATAGCAAGCCTGTTATTTCAAAAGCTATTTTGAAATAACGGGCTTGTTTAAAAGACATGGAATAGCTATTCCAGGATACTGGTTGCACCTTGAGTGAGTAAGTATGACAGAATCTGGCCAACAATGAGCAGCCTCTGCTTTTGCCCAGGTAGAGGGAGCAGAGAGCCCTGGCTACACTGGAGCCAGGTGACATGTGAAATCATCCTTCATCACCTTCAGAGAGGGAAAAGGAGGTGACCCATTGGTGCAGGTTCTCTCTCAGAAGTTGTCTTGGGTCAGAAGAGCAAAGAGGCCCTCCATTGTTTGTTTGTTTTGTTTGTTTTGGGTTTTTTTAACCTTTAGGAGCTCAAGGGATTTTTTTTTAATCCCATCTCAGCTTTATGTTCTTAGCCTGAACTAAAACAGTCTTAAATGTCTTCACAGAACAATGCAGGTCTTCCCTCCTAAGAAGAAACCTTTTTTGGGTTCTGCATATACTTCCTAATGATTTTTCCCCGCCGTTTCCGAGAACTCTTCTTTGTTTCAGCTACAATACCATCACGTAGCACAGGAGGCTCCAGATCCATTGTTATCAATGACTTCTTGCAGGCCCATGAATGACTTTTCACAGTCTGCCTCTGAAGAAGGGGAAACTTTCTCTGGATCTGAACCACAGATTCAACCACTAGCTCTAGCAATGCAAAGACTTGGGAATAATTTACAAGAACTGTCATTATAGTCATGAAATTCAAAGAACTTCAGGATGAATGGATTCTGTAAAGGTCTTTTTTATCAGTCAGTAGGGAGACCTGTTTGAGCAGTAGGCTACTCTTCTTTTGTTTCCCTTTTTTTTTTTTTTTTGAAGTCCTGCAGCTTCCTGTTGTCTCTAGAGGTCCCAGACAGATAAGCCTATGCAAGAAACAGTTTTGAGAGAAGGAATTGAGTTAGTTTCATACTACCATAATCATTAGCATCCAAGTGCTGTTACTAAACTATTAAAGCTTTATTGGAGTGGAATGTGAAAGACAGTAAGGTGGATAAATGCTTACAAATTTAAATAAAATATATTGCTCTGCCTTACAGTTATGTATTTAAAATGCATATGATCTAAAGCAAGCAGAGCAAATTGTGGTCAGAAAAGTGTCTGTATTCCAAAAGTGTCTGTGTGTATTCAGAGACATATCTGCTTACTTAACCTCTTTATACTGCGGAGCCAATAGAGCTCTTGCAGAATGAACTATATCCTTTTTGGGGTTATATAGCACCAAAAGAACTATTAAGTAAGTTCCAGTTGTGAAATTGTTCTCACTAGTGAGTCTGCATGGGCCATGAAGATCCCAGATTGGTTCTTCAGGGCTGCCAGTTAGGGGAAAATATCTTACCAGCAAAACAAGCAAATTTGATATGGAAGATGAGATTGTGACAATAAGCATAGAATTCCATAGTGCTGTTATTCCAGTCACTTTTCTGATTATAATCACATTTTAAATGCGGGGTAGGATGGTGTGACAGACGTGATAGAGCTTCTACTGTTGGCCATTTACCAGACTGCTGAGTTTGAATCCAAATTCTGGATCCTGCATGTTTCTAAGCCCTCTTAGGCCCACTAGCATCCAAGCACTATATGGGTCAGTGAAACACACCCAGTGGGTGTGTGGATTACAGTTGTTCTGCCAGAGGAAAATCATTCCATATTATCATTTTTGTCCTTCTTGTCAGCATGCATGAAATTTGGCATGGTCCCTGTCAAGAAGTAGCTGATTCAATTCATGCCAAGGGTTAATTATACATAGAGTTCATAAAATCAATCAGAATTCTTGTACATGGGTGGATTTCCCAAACAGTCACGTATGATCTTGTAGCACTAGCATAATTCTGGAAGTTATGGTATCTGTTTTCTGTTCTAAGTTCTGTCTCAGATGTTCTGTGTGATCTTTGTCAGGACATTTAACAAGTTTTAGTTCCTCTGATTCATGGAAAATGCAAAGCCTTTTTATTTAAAACAGAATAGTTGAAAACTTCATTTCTGCTGTTTATCTCCTGAAACCATATCCTTTCCAGGCTGTTAATTGTAATATCATTGTTATAGAATCATAGAATACTAAGACTGGAAGGGACCTCGAGAGGTCAGTGAGTCTAGTCCCCTGCCCTTATGGCAGGACCAAATACTGTCTAGACCCCATCCCTGATAGACATTTATCTAACCTACTCTTAAATATCTCCAGAGATGGAGATTCCACAACCTCCCTGGGCAATTTATTCCAGTGTTTGACCACCCTGACAGTTAGGAATTTTTTCCTAATGTCCAACCTAAACCTCCTTTGCTGCAATTTAAGCCCATTGCTTCTTGTTCTATCCTCAGAGGCCAACATGAACAAGTTTTCTCCCTCCTCCTTATGACACCCTTTTAGATACCTGAAAACGGCTATCATGTCCCCCCTCAATCTTCTCTTTTCTAAACTAAACAAACCCAATTCTTTCAGCCTTCCTTAATAGGTCATGTTCTCTAGACCTTTAATCATTCTTGTTGCTCTTCTCTGGACCCTCTCCAATTTCTCCACATCCTTCTTGAAATGCGGTGTCCAGAACTGGACACAATACTCCAACTGACCTAACTAGTGCAAAGTAGAGCGGAAGAATGACTTCTTGTGTCTTGCTCACAACACACCTGTTAATGCATCCCAGAATCATGTTTGCTTTTTTTTTTGCAACAGCATCACACTTCTGACTCATATTCAGCTTGTGGTCCACTATAACCCCTAAATTCCTTTCTGCCGTACTCCTTCCTAGACAGTCGCTTCCCATTCTGTATGTGTGAAACTGATTGTTCCTTCCTAAGTGGAGCATTTTGCATTTGTCTTTATTAAACTTCATCCTCAGATCATTTCTCCAATTTGTCCAGATCATTTTGAATTATAACCCTATCCTCTAGATTAGTCGCAACTGTTCCCAGCTTAGTATCATCTGCAAACTTAATAAGCATACTTTCTATGCCAATATCAAAATCGTTGATGAAGATATTGAAGAGAGCTGGTCCCAAAACAGACCCCTGCAGAACCCCACTTGTTAGACTTTTCCAGCAGGATTGTGAACCATTAATAACTACTCTCTGAGTACGGTTATCCAGCCAGTTATGCACCCACCTTATAGGAGCCCCAATGTTCTGGGATGACACACAAAGTTAGAAGCCATTACTGAAAGAACAGCAGTTGCCTACCATTATTGCTGCTTATGAGAGTATATGCAACTGAGAATGGATTTGTACTAATTTAAATTATACAGAGATTAGATTCTACCCAAGCAAATATATTTGAACACACTGGGTTTCTTATTATGTTTAGTGAGAATTTGGTATAGTCTAAATGAATACTGATTAGTACAGAGATAGGATAAGTCCATTATATATAGTAATACTTATTATCAAACGGCAGCGAAAATCTACTCGCATGCACGCGCCGCCGATAAACAGGGCAACTGGCTGAAATCTACTCGCCACGGGCGAGTAGAAACAGCAATTTGTCGAGCCCTGCTTATTATCATTAAAGTATTGTCCAACTTGAAAATGTTACGTAGCTTTTGCTGCTGATTAAGTACAGTTTTAAGCCATGAAATGTGGTACTAACTTTCAACTATAATTTTAGATTACTGCTAATAATATGCAGATGTAGCTTTCAGTAATTCCAGCAATCCCTTTTAAAGATTTGTAGATAAGAGTCCACACAGAATGAGAACATTTGTTTGTATCGTCAGACTTTACAATGTGTAGAAGTCACAATAATTAAAAATAACATCACATTGTCTCCACTGTTATCAACTGTCACTTGCTTCCATCGTTTCTTCATCTGCTTGTAAGCATACAGTATGTGGTAGCTAGATGTGCAGTTTAAATTTTCACCTACTATATTTAATACCAATATAGGTTAATATAATAATGTCTTTTACAAACTCTTGTTTTATAGATATATGTAAGAGCACAATTTGAATATGATCCAGCAAAGGATGACCTCATCCCCTGCAAAGAAGCTGGCATCAGATTTAGAGTTGGAGACATTATCCAGATCATTAGCAAAGATGATCACAACTGGTGGCAGGGTAAACTAGAGAACTCCAAAAATGGTACTGCAGGCCTCATTCCTTCTCCTGAGCTTCAAGAATGGTATGGTTTGGGGTTGTGTGCTTTAGCTTTTGTTTGTTTTTATAAAAATGACTTTATCCTTATTGTATTTTTCTCTTTCATAATTCTATATTATGGAATAGCTAGTATGTTTACGTAGTCTTTTATCTCATGCCAAACAAAATGTCTATTTAAAGCCAGAATCTTCAATTGTAGTTATTTCCCTTATTTATGCACAGCTTACAAGAGCTTTGCCTACATCAGGACTACAGAATCAAATGTAGGAATTAACTGGATTTTGTTTTCAATAAAACACAGGAGCTCTTTAAGATCTATATTAACTGAGACCCATATTTTAGAGATCTAGAAAATAAATACAAAATCAATATATGGGCCAGAAGATTTTACACACACACACACACACACACACACACACACACACACACACACACACACCTCTTTCGATACAAAAAAGTCAAATCCTGATTGAGATCCTGATTAAGCAGTGCATTTAAGTATAGATCTTCAGTGGGACTGCTCACATGCTTAAGTACATTACTGGATCAGAGCCTTTATTAGCTACCAAAACTTTATTTGGGGTTTTGGTTTGTTTTTTTCTATATGCAAGAATTTATGACCCCACTAGTACAAAAAGATGTCTGCACTGCAATATTAGGCAATATTAAGGCCATCCACCATTGCAAGAGAAACACAAAGCACTGGATTCTGGCACTTGAAGAAAGCAAGCTTTGTTAATAAGCCTTTGAAATGTATTGGGGCACACTCTTGCAAACATATCCTTTCATGCAGATGAAAATGGGCTCTCAGTCATGATTGAAGGTGAAACATGTATGTATCACATTAAAGAATCAGGCCTTAAATATGTCATTTGAGATCATAACAACTGTTCCTGTTCCCTTTATGTCTGGTAAAAGGACCACTGAGTAGCATGAAGGAGCTCTAAAACCCCAGTACAGGCACTGAGGCACACAGCCATAAGGCTGCAGTCCTAGGACTTCATTACAAGCCTTGGTTCTCTTCAAGTAGTGTCCCTGTGTGTGCTCCACTCAGGTTTCAGTGCATCCTCACACCTGCAATCAGAGATTTTTAGCCTAGCAGCGCCTTCCCACGTCACGCATGTGCAGTCACTGTCTCATGCTGTTTTCATCCGTTAGCTGTGCGCATGACACAGGTTCTCTCATATCCTTTTCTACTGGCCTTGGCAGAAGACAGTTTCGGAGCAGTGCTCTCCTGACTGAAAAAAGATGGGAAAATTAGTTAGTTGGTAGTTTTAGTACTATTAGTTGTTAGTTAGCCCTAGTTTGTTTTTCTTTAATTAAAAAAAAAGTGCTCTGGGTTTTTGTTTTTGTTTTCTTTTCTCCAAATTCTTTGCTCCCCCAGCTTCTTCAATATGCCGGGCTCCCCTGGCTTTAAAAAAATGTGATTCCTCTAGAAACTCCATGCCAGCTTCATATGGGCATGCTTCATGCATAAAGTGCCTCGGCAAAGGCCGTGTGGTGCAGAAATGCCCACACTGCCAGGGCTAGAAAAGACTGGGAGATGAGGCTTAAGAATTTGCGATGGGAAAAATCCTCTAACCGCCAGAGGCAAAGACAATTGCAACTTTGGAAACTCTGAGAGAAAAAGAGCCAACTCACCCCTATGCAAGACCTCTGTGAGTCCCGAATCTCTCTGGAATCATCCCTACCAGGAGTGCCATCCACATCCCATGCTGAGTGCTCATAGCTGCCATCGACCTCCGGCACCTCACAAATGCGAAAAACAGCGGAGACGAAAAGATCAGAGTCAGAACCTTAAGAGGGAAAGCCACCTCCTCCACACTATAAACACCGGCACTAACTAAAGTGAATATGCCACCCCCACTGGTACCGATAGACACATCAGCACAGCACCAGTCTTTGGATTCCTGGTGCGCACCAACATCGAAGCACACATCGGCACCACAAACCTCAAAGCCGAGAGCCCAGAAGACAACAGAGTCTCGGCACCGAAACCGCAACCACCAGTGTCTTCATCACTGGTGCCGACAGACAACACTTCTCCTCATTCTCCTATTATTGAGTATTCGAGCCTGCAGCAGCACTCCTCTGAGAATATTTCATACTTCCCCACTCCATCTTCTCCAAGCACTGGTCCTAGCACCGGGCATGGGAGCAGGTTGTCCTTCCTAGCACTCGTCACCAATGGGCTCAATGACCTCCCAGTACTCAAGCAGACACTGATCACCATACCATCACCCACGGTACCCTTGGTTTAACCATCCATTGCCTTATCCACCACAGCAGTCTTAACTTCAATGACCACCCTAGGAACCATGGGGACAATATAGATCACCCCTCATATTGGCCCGAGTCACAAAACTCAATTGTAGTCACCTGAGCATGCACAACAATGCGATCTCTGCCCACTACTCAGTCTTCATTGACCCATCCCCCACCATCACCTTTGACTACTGCTCAAACAGGTCTGGCAAAGGAACATGACAATTTACCTCAATCTGATTCAGACAGTCAATCTCCATTTCGACAGTCTTCATCCCCCAACAAGGCTGTTTCTTCCTTCTTCCTCTCCCCCTGCAGATGACGTGAAGCTATTTTAGGAACTGTTTAAGAGGGTGGCACAGTCACAAGATATAGCCCTGCAAGGGGTACAAGAAAAGCAGCACAAATTGCTTAAGATTCTACAGCCCACCCCATCTTCCAAGACAGCATTATCAAACGACGATGCTATTCCCCCCGACTCTATTCCCCCGACTAATGGCAGGCTGGATAGAAAGTACTTTGTCCCAGCGAATGGGATGGATTTTCTCTTCTCTTACCCCCAGCCCAACTCTTTGGTTGTAGATTCTGTGTGCCATCATTCCAGACACCTACAATTCAAATCAGCACCCCAGGATAAAGAACATAAAAGGGCTGAACAATTTGGAAGGAAAGTTTATTCCTCTGCTCTCCTGCAGTTCAGAGTATCCAATTATATGGTTCTTATCGCCAACTGTGATTATGCCAATTATACCAGGTTGCAGGAGCTCCTAAAGGACCTCCCTGAACAAAAGAGATCACAGCTGAAACAGGGCCAATCTATCACCCGAATGGCACTTCAGGCACCTATGAACATAGCAGATATGGCAGCCAGGGAACTGCAATTGCAGTCATCATGCGCCGCACATCATGGCTACAATCATCAGGTGTCCCCTGTGAATTGCAGACAAAGGTAGAGGATCTGCCCTTTGACAGGAGTCAACTTTTCATGGCCAAAACTAATAAGATAACTCATTCAGTGAAGGACTCACGTACTACCCTTTGAATGCTGGATATTTACATGTCATCTAACAAGAGAAGGAGCTACAGCCCGCACGGACAACCCCTGGATCTCCTTTCCAGAGGATCTAATAAAGGCTAGGACTTTAACAGGGTTCAAAAAAGAGCTAGATAGATTCATGGCAGTTAGGTCCATCAATGGCTATTATCCAGGATGGGTAGGAATGGTGTCCCTAGTCTCTGTCTAGATATGGGTAACAGGAATGGGCTCATGTGAGGATTACCAGAGATCAAGGAATATGTCCTATCAAAGACAACACCAGAGACTAGTAACTGAGATCTAGCCGTGTTAGTCTGGTCTTGCTGAAACAAAATACAGGACTATGCAGCACTTTAAAGACTAACAAGATGGTTTATTAGGTGATGAGCTTTCGTGGGCCAGACCCACCATGAAAGCTCATCACCTAATAAACCATCTTGTTAGTCTTTAAAGTGCTGCATAGTCCTGTCTTTTGTTTCAGCAACACCAGAGACTGTTTGATAACAGATCTAAATAATAGTCTAATTGGAGAAGAGCCCAGTATACCCAGTCATCCACCCTTCAATTGGCAGCACTGAAACATCAAATTTGAAGATGTGATCAAGGGCCTGAGCAACCACCGTATAGAACCAGTGCATACCACGCATATTTTCCATCACCATCTGAGGCCCTTTTACTATCAATGGGCCCTCATTACTTTGGACCAATGGGTCCTCGAGATCATAAGAACTGGCTATACGATCCCCTTTATGTCTGTGCCCCTTACCTACCCTTCCTCCCCGTTTCCTCTCACAAGTCCCTTCTACAGGTAGAAGTACAAAAACTACTCAGCCTGGGGTCCATAGAGCAGGCGCCACCCAAATATCATGGAAGAGGGTTTTATTCTAACTATTTCCTTAGTTCCATAAAGACAGGAGGATGGATGCCCATCTTAGATCTCAGGAAACTCAACAAGTTTGTCCACAACCACAAATTCATGATGGTGAACTTAGGAACCATCGTACCTGCACTGTACGAGGGGGATTGGGTCTCAGCCCTTGACCTTCAAATATACTTTCACATAACAATACACCCTGTCCACAGAAGGTTCCTCCCATTTACAGTGGGCAATGACCAGTACCACTATCGAGTCCTTCCCTTTAAGCTGTTGACAACTTCACATTTTTTCCAAAACACTGGCCATAGTAATGGCCTTCCTCAGGAAACAAGGTGTTAACATATTCCTGTATCTGCGTAATCAAAGGGACTTCATGACAACAGACACTAATCGTGACAAACATTACCAGGGATGTTTTTTCCTGACTGGGTCTGCTGATAAATGTACAGAAATCCACTCCGGAACCAACCCAGGGAATAGAATTCATTGGGGCATTACTAAATTCCTGTGATGGCCAAGGCTTCTCTTCCTCTACATTGCTTTTAAACCCTATTTGGTATAATAGACAGTGTACTTCATGACAACTGTTCATACATATCTCCAGGTCCTAGGTCACATGGCAGCCACCACCTTTGTGGTACACCTCACGAGACTCCACATGAGATGTCTGCAGGCTTGGTTTGCTTCCCCAATCGGTACAGCCTCACCAAACAAGTCGCACCCCCACCGTTGGTGCTGGCATCACTGCAATGGTGGACTTGCCCACAAAATCTCCTTTTCAGAGTGCCCTTCCACCATCCAGACTCCTCACATCTAGTAACTACAGATGCATCCCTCATGGGTTGGGGAACCCACTGCAGACATCAGAGAGCCCAAGACAGATGGTCGCACTGAGAGGCAAGATTGCACATGAACATACTGGAACTCAGGGCGGTTCGCAATGCCTACCTCCCATTTCCTGCTGCTCATCCATGGTCACACCATACATGTCCTCACAAACAACACACCATGTACGTTTTACATCAGCCAACAGGGGGTACCTGATCATGCTCACTATGTGCTGAGGCAATCACGTTTTGGAACTGGTACATGAAGAGAAACATCACACTAATGGCAATGAACATACCAGGTCAACAGAACACCATGGCAGACAAACCGAGCAGGCATTTTTCCGAACAACACAAGTGGGAGCTCAGTCTCAAAATCATCCTGCCTATATTTTGACAGTGGGGATTCCTGGTCATGGACCTTTTTGCAACAACAACCAATCGCAAATGCCATCGCTTGTGTTCAAGAGCAGGGCAGGGCAAGCAGACAAGAGGAGATGCTTTCACCATGCCATGGACAGCTCCACTCTTATACACATTTCCTCCGAATTCCCCTGGTTCCCAGGGTAATCCACAAGATCCGAGCAGACTGAGCAGGGGTCATATTGATAGCTCCATACTGGCTGAGAGAGCCTTGGTTTCCATACCTCCATTAGCTATCAGTGGCCGACCCTATTCCCTTTCTTATCATTCCCCAGTTCCTAACTCAGCATCACGGAAGAATATGTCACCCGAACCCTCAGACTCTCAAACTCACCACCTGGCTTCTCTATGGTTCCAGAATGACGAGATCACCTGCTCTTAGAGAGTAAAACAGATTCTTCTTGGCAGCCATTGTCCTTCCATGAGGTACATCTACCAAAACAAATGGAAGCAGTTTCAGGAATGGTGCATCGGCGCTACATACAGGCACATACCACCCCAATACCTACCGTACTAGAGTACTTAATGGACCTCAGTGTTGTAGGGCTCTCCATCAGCTCCATAAGAGTTCATCTCTCAGCCATTACCATCTTCCATAAACCAGTAAATAATGTCTCGGTGATTGGATAAGCAAACACTAGGCAGTTCTTAGCAGGTTTATCCCAAACATGTCCTCATGTATGCCCACTTGTACCACCACGGGACCTGAATCTTGTATTGGACACACTAATGAGATCGCCCTTTGAACCATTAGCAACAGCCTCACTACAACACATGGCTATGAAAGTGTCCTTTCTTGTCGCAATCACATCTGCAGCCCTCATGGCTGAACCACCTTATGCTCTCTTCACAGAGGTCAAGATTATTCTCAGATCTCATGCTAAATTTTTACCTAAGTTCATTTCTGATTTTCACTTTAATGAATCCATTTACTTACCCATCTATTACCCTAAACCACATGACTCCCTGAGGAAGGTGATAATACACACCCTCGATACAAGATGTGTGGTGGAATTTTACATAGACAGGACCAAACAATTTAGAATGTCTAATAGACTTTTTAACTCTATGTCCAGCTCACACAAGGAAACAGCCGTCTCCACACAATGTATATCCAAGTGGATATCAAACTGCATAAATACCTGTTACGGGCTTTGAAACAAAACTCCACCATGGGCATTTCTGCTGCACATTCCATGCAAGCGATGGCTGCATAGACTGCCTTTCTACATAAGTATCTAAAGGGTGTTACCAGGAGGCAGGAGAAAAATTGTTCTCTTTGTCTTCTGATGATAGGACAAGAAGCAATGGGTTTAAATTGCAGCAAGGGAGGTTTAGGTTGGACATTAGGAAATGTTTCCTAACTGTCAGAGTGGTTAAATACGGGAATAAATTGCCTAGGGAAGTTGTGGACTCTCCATCACTGGAGATATTTAAGATCAGGTTGGATAGACATCTATCCGGGATGGTCTAAACTCCTGCTCTGAGGGCAGGGGACTAGACTCAATGACCTCTCGAGGTCCCTTCCAATTCTGTGATTCTGTACCCCTTGCTGACAGCTGTAGGCCAGCTACATGGTCTTCATGCCATAGTTTTGCACAACACTATGCATTACTGCAAGAACCATTATCTACGACACCCATGGATGACACCGTCCTTGCCTCCTCTAATAGATGACTCAAAAGACCCATCTCCACAGATTGTGGATACTGCTTTTTAGTCACCTGTGTGTAGCACCCATAGGGACACCGCTCGAAAGAGAAGAGGAAGTTACTTACCTTGTGCAGTAACAATGGCTCTTTGAGAAGTGTTTCCCTGTGGATGCTCCACTACCGTCCTTTTCTCCCCACTACTTTGGAGTCTACTAAAGAATTTCTGGTAGAAAAGGAACGGAGGAGACCCATGTCGCGTGCACAGTTAATGGACAAAAACAGCACAAGACAGCGACTGCGCATGCACAGCATGGGAAGGCACTGCTGAGCTAAAAATTTCCAATCGCCGGTGCAAGGACGCACTGATACGTGAGCGGAGCACCCACAGAGACACACATCTTGACGCACCATTGTTACTGCAAAAAGTGAGTAACTTCCTAATTCGAGCTGTGGTCTCCACCTTTCCATATTATTTTACCCTTTCCAGGAGTCTGATTTGTCTTGTGTGCCCCACGTTTTACCTCACTTTAAAACTTGCAAAATCAGATATAAAAATATAAATGTCATAGCACAGCAGTACGGAAAACTTGCTTACTCTCTCATTTTTACCATATAATTATAAAATAAATGAATTGGAATATAAATATTGTTCTTCCATTTCAGTGTATAGTAGATAGAACAGGAGAAGTGAATGGTCTACTGCTCTATATAGTATTATAGAGCAGTAGAAGTCAACGTGTAGAACTCCTTACCAGAGGATATTGTGAAGGCCAGGACTTCAACAGGGTTCAAAAGAGAACTAGGTCAATTCATGGAGGTTAGGTCTATCGATGCTTATTAGCCAGGATGGGTAGGAATGGTGTCCCTAACCTCTATTTGTCAGAGGCTGGAAATGCGTGGCAGGATATGCATATCCCTGGGGTGGAGGGAGAGTATTTGTTCCTCTGGGGCATCTGGCATTGGCCACTTTTAGAAGACAGGATTCTGGATTAGATGGACCTTTAGTCTGACCCAGTCTGGCCATTCTTATGTTCTAAGAAAAAAAAAATCAGTGTATGACATTTTAGTTGTAGGTACTTTTTATGTACCCTGTTGTAAAACTAGGCAAGTATCTAGAATAGATGTATTCTAGAATTGATGTATTCCATGGAAGACCTTTTCATACCCCGCCCCAATCTTACTCCCACGCCCAGGGATATGCACACCCTTCATTCAGAACCACTGGTATAGTTTGCATTCTGGCTTGGGAAGGGTATGTTCCTGGTGATGCAATACGCAGCACTATGGAGATTTTGGTGGGCACAGCAGCCTCAGGACACTGCTGAAACTTACCCAAGTCTTTAATCCCAGGCCCACCATCGAGGAGGATGGGAGGGAGCAGTGTCCCCAGGGCCCAACAATTTACTGTGTCAATGGCAGCCAGAGCCCTGGATCCCTATCAGTTGCTTCCAGAGCATCACTCCACATGGCTCTGAAGGCTAGAGAGGATGCAGACCAGTTTGGGTGACACTAACGGCAGACTGCCCTTGGCCCCACCCCTTCTAGGGCTCAGAGCCAGACCCCCACCCATACACAAGTTGTTCTGGGGCCTGCAGTGGCTGTCAGCCCCGCTGTTTACTCCTGTCTGAATTATGTCAGGGACATTTGCTCCTGAAGCAGCCTACAATCAGGGTACACAATTGTAGTTTAAAGCCATTTTAGACTTCTCTTTCTCCTGGGCTATGAGATGTAAGAACAGTCCTTATAACAATGCACTTGTAAAATACATATATTAATATGCATTTCTGTGACTAAACATCTTTAGTAAAAGGAAGTGGTGTGAGAAATCCTGCTGTACACTTGTAAATACAAACAGCTTTCTTTTTTTGTCTTGTGGCACCTTAGAGACTAACACTAATATTTTTTTTTTATATATATATTTATCATGAGCTTTCGTGGGCAAAACCACTTCTTCAAATGCCCATGAAAGCTCATGATACTATACATATTTTTTTGTTAGACTCTAAGGTGCCACAGGACTACTCGTTCTTTTTTGAAGTATTACGTGTTCTTTTAAATACATGTTTATAATAGAAGAGTTAATACTTCAGCAAATGATAATGATACCAGGTTGTCTATAGCAACAAGCTGATTAGCTATTTTTTCCCTTTCCCATGCCAGGCGAGTAGCTTGCATTGCCATGGAGAAGACCAAACAAGAGCAGCAGGCCAGCTGTACTTGGTTTGGAAAGAAAAAGAAGCAGTACAAAGACAAATACTTGGCAAAGCACAATGCAGGTATGAGAAGCAAGGGTCTTTGAGGCCACATAAAAAATTGCTTTGCCAGCCAAACCTCATTTATTGATGGCCAACTGGCACTGCCACGAACCTAGTGAGTTATGTAGGAAAAGTTTAGTAAAGTGAGAGCTCTACCAGTCATTCTACACTGATTCTCAATGTAGTATTTAAACTTAATAGTTTAACTAATAAGACAAAACACATTGACCATAACACATCCAGCAGTAGTATTGTACTGCTCTAGTTTTATAATTAAAGGAACTGTGTGGAAGACAACAAGATACAATTTTAATGGGCTATTTAAAGTGTTTTATACCATACTGTACTTCCTGCTTACAGAGTATTCTGTAGCAGCTTCCAGACAATTTTGTTAATATGTTAGCTATTGTTATTTAAAATAGATTATGTAAATCAAAACATGATTAGCAAAAGGGTATTTTTGAAGCTTTACAGCTGAAAGAAAAATAAATGGCACTTTGAAGTTAAAAAGTATAGTTTTGCAGTTGAACATCCAATAGACTAACATAGCAGAAGTTATGTTCTGAAGTTATACCATAGAGTCAGCTTTAAACAACTATAATCTTGATTACATTTGGCTGAAATTAGACCAACTCTTGGAGTTCTTCTCCTAATGCCTGTAATTGGCTGCATTCTGAGGATTGTATTCTATTTAGAATGCTAAATGAAAAGTGTTTTGGTAGACTTTGGAAATTTAAATATCTTGATATGTTAAAAATAATTAAAATAGTCAATGTATTCTATTTGTATTGCATTTTTATTTATATTGTAAACTGTGGTGGTAATACATTGTGATACTCTTGTCTCTAGAGCTTTTAAGATTTTATCAGAACCAGGGTGTACATATATATCCAGCACTTTATAGTGAAGTATCTTTATGTATTGCGTAAACTGCAGCTTTTCCAGTTGTGATCCTCTGGTGTCTATAGCAGAAAAAAACATTTTCTTTCATGTTTTTTCAAAAGATTAGTCACAGTGTAATATCAATTGCTATGTCAGTACAACTGATGTCCTACTGGCCCTCCAGTAAAACATATGGTACAAAATATTAAATCACTCACTTGTTCCATGACCCTTGTTGTACTACATCTGAGCATTAGAAGGCAAGATGAATACAGACTGAAAATCTTTTAATTTAATTTCTTTTATTAGTTTGAATTACTCATGTTTTAATATTTGCATTTAATTAAAATAATATTGCAGCCATCTTACAGAAATTAATAATATTAAAGAAAACAAGAGAGAATGAGGAATACATGCTAGACTTGATATAGTAGGGATATTTCAGGCTATGATTGGGGTTTGCATAATGCTTTCCTGTATTACGCTTCGCTACGGCCAATGTAGTTAGCCTTTCACTGATAAAAGCACCAATAGTTCTCACAAAATTTATAAATAAAAATAAAAATGCTTCATAACAAACACAAGTTTTAAAAATGGTATCCTAGGCATAGTACCATCTGGTATGTATGCCCAGAAAAAAACCTGGCTAATCGGACTAGAGGTTCTAATTAGGATCTGTTTGAAAAGTCTTAATTCAGTCTTAGTGTCTTTGATTTAGAGGAATTAATTGTCTAATGCAGGAGATTGCAGGGCCCCAAGAGGTTAATTACACTAATATTACACGTATAAGACAGAATTAAATTTGGTAAATGCAGTACTGACTAGAGCTAACCTCAAATATTACCAAATTATTTTTCTTGTACATAATTAGATTGCTTTCTAGAGCGCGTATACAGCCTTGTGAAAATTAGCAGAGTTTGTATTTAACCTATGTTCCTGCTCATATCCTCTGCATACCAATAGGCCACTGATACATTGTTTATCTTCATAACAAGATAAAGCTACAGTGAGGGCTAATAACCAATTAGGGTTTGGATGTGAAGTTACCAGAATCTTGTGAGCTGTTCTTACTTTGGGTCCCAACTGGCAGTTATAATCCTGTGAGATTTGTCATCTGGAAAGGTAGAAATTCTACCAGATCATCTGTTTGGAGATTTTCACTATCTTGTGTCATGATGTCACAAACTGACTGTTGTCACAAGATTTTAGCAGCATCTACCACAGAACTGGAAAGTAGGCCCTTTCCTGTTTTGAATCTTATTAGAAATACAAACCAGCAAAGTTGGTTATAATCTGAGGAATCTAATTCAAACTCTCTCGAGTAAGTCATGCAAAAGCATTGAAAGGTAGAATTTGCTCCTCTTTGTATTACTTGCATTCACAAGAAAATTTTAATATATATATTTTTACAACCCATTTTCTCATGTTACTATTTTATGGAGGAGAAAAGGGTGCTGGAATATAGGTGGTAAAACAGCCTTGCTATTGACTGAAAATGTGTGGTTTGCTAAATATTTTAGGGGCATAGTTTAGATTTTGGTGCAGTTTTCAAGGATGTCAATGGAGCTTGTCACCACATTGCTTTATAGATCAAACAGTTTATGAAGCCACAGAGAAAATAGTTTAATTGTTTATTATATTCAAAAAGGCAGAATTTTTTCCTTTGACACGAAGATAATTGCTGCTGTCACACCTCACTTTTGTCTCTAATCAGCTTTCATGTCTTGAGCTAAGTCCTCAAAGAGTGTACAGTATCATGCCAGATCTTCAAAAGTCTATTTTAAGTCAACTAAAGATAGTATTTTTTAATAGTTGACTTTATTATTTTCAGGTGTGTTATAAGATACATTGTAGTAATTTTTAAATGTATTTGAAAATAAATCTTTTTACAGAAATGCTATTGCAGGACTTTGTAAAATGCCACTCCTGAGATTTGTTATGTTTCAAAGTATGCATAAAATAATTATTAGAATACTGCCAAGCTTTTATAAAATGCGTTTATCATTTCTTAATGTTATTTATTTGCCTTGTGTTTAGAATATTGCATGGGAAAGTTTTATTTTGTGCATATACTTTTTATTTTACTAATATACTACAAGCCATATCTCAATGACCCCTGTACATTTTTCATGCTGTCTTACTCCCAATGGCCTCTGTGCATGTAAGTAACCTGTCAAGTGACAATGCCTCTTTATTTGCTTCTTACTGTTTCCTTTCAATAACTCCTTTTCTTTATTAGCTAGTTGCACAGAAACATTAAAAGTTCAGTCTTTAAATGTGTCCTTGTATTCCTCATATCTTGTGTATGAAAAATCATTTCCATCTGTTTATGGAAACCCTACAGTCATTAGGTAATCCCATTTAGACCAAAGTCTATATTCTCCAGGCTGCTAGTTTGTGATTAAAACATTATAATGTACCATTTTTGTCTGTTAGTGTTTGTGGTGTTTGTCTTAATATAATGTATTGCAGTTCAGGGAGAATAAAAGGTATATTTTTTTCCCAATGGGAGGATGAGTTATTTAAGTGTTAGATTATTCAAGTGGCAGAACTGGTTCACACAAATTAGATACACTGATCGTTCTAATGCAGAATAAACCTGTTACCTAATTTAAATGAATTCAAGTTGCAGCAGAGACGTACTCCATCTTTGTAGGTTCTTGGAATGAAGAAAAATATCATCATAACATTCCTCTAAAAGTACATTTTAATATTTGGTGACACTTGAGGAAAATCTTTTTCTTTAAATTGAATTCAGAATGTTTTCTGACAGACTAACAAATTTGCAAATCCATATATTTTCTAAGTTAAGAAATCTTAAATAATTAAACTGACTTATTTATAGTGTATTTCTAAGTACAATAAATAAATCTGAATTGAAAACAACATTACTGCAATGACTACTACTAGATTAATTAAAGCTTAAATATAGTAGGCTTCTTTTCTGCCTTCCTTTTTAAGAGTACCAGGATTATAATACTGGTAATTCTTGATAGAATGTGCCCCCCCCCCCATCATCTTTGTCATAATTGCTGATTGCCACATTCTTATAGCTAAATTAAAGCAGTATTCACTATAGTTAACTGCCCCCTTCTTCATTCCTTCATTAGAATTTTACTGAAATGATTGTGTTACCATAAACATTCTATTATTGGCCATAAGAAGGAACGGGCTTATTTTAAGGAAGAAAACTCAATTTGATGCATATACTGTACCTTAGCAATTGACAGTGGTCAGATAGGCATTGTAGAAAATACACATTGCAGTTAAATTAAGATTTTACTAAAATGAGATTTTTTTTATATTCATATGCTCTCAGTATGGTGGAGGTTCATTTTTTTGCAAATCTCCATTCAGTGTCAAAAGTTTGAAAAGCATGAGAATAAAAATAGCATGTGTTTGAGGAGAATTCTACTTATAATTAACATGTTCTGTTTAAAGAAAAAACCCACAAAACATGAAATCAAACTACTTGCTTATGCATTTTTCATAATTCTAAGAGAAAATATTATTTTTAAAAGTAGCCTCTACCTTTAGTGTAAATAGATGTTTTCATATTGTATTCATGTTGGTCACTGTCTGTAGACTTTTAGTACTGCTAAATTTTAGGTATGCAAAAAATATGAATAGCATGCTATTTTAACTAATTTTTTTGATCTGCTGACTACTGCATGAAATAACATGCAAGTTGTCCTAAGCCTTTCAATAGCTTTCAATGTTATGTTTTTAACCATTTGTATGGACTTAAAAATGAGTGGTTTCATTAAGCTTGCAACCATAAAATGTCTAATTTAAATATATTTCAGTATTGTCAGTTTAATTTTTTTAGAAATATAGTTTTGGAATGCATATTTAATATTGTTACTACAATTACAGTTTGGTATAAATGACAATCTATTTCTCAATGCACTTCATACACTTTTTTCCTCTTATCTTTCCATTTTGTTTTGTGCTTTAGTGTTTGATCAATTAGATCTCGTCACATATGAAGAAGTAGTAAAATTGCCAGCATTCAAAAGGAAAACACTAGTCTTACTAGGTAATTTTAAGTATATCTTATTCTAAACAGAACATTAATGTTGACAATATGTTTTGAATCTCTTTATGATGCTGAATATTGTTACACCTTGGTTCGGTGATGTGATGTGAGCCTCAAGGGTTAAAGCCGACTATCCAGTGAAAACTACTGGATGATGGTGAAACAAATGATATTTATTAAGTGGTCAAAACCAGCAATTAACAAGTAGGTGTTTGAACTAGCAATTGCTTAGTACTTTTACAGCGTAGAAAAGCTTGGGCACAATTATACCCAACTGATTACAATTCTTTGATTACAATTCACTTATATCAAATCACTATCCCTAATTCGCCTAAGACAACTTAGCATACAAATGAAAAATACAAAAAACAAAGCCAAAATAATGATAATAAAAGAACCATCCAAAGCCAGCCCCTCTATGGTTATTTTAGGACAGCTGGTGGAGTTAGTCATAAATCTACTTTTACAACTTAACAACTCCGGGGCTTCTATTTCTAACACTTATACTTAACCTAAATACAACACTACTATACAACACAAAATTTTACAATTTACACAGCGTGGTTAACAGAACTTAGATACACTTTACAGAATTACACAGTGAAATTAACACAATTTGACTATTAATTAAACCAATAACTAATACATTTAAGCAATACTTACAAATCCAGAAACGATAACAACACAAAGACACACTAGAACTCGGAGCATGCTCAGGACTCGTGCACCCCTATATTTGTCTCAAAGGGTGGGGAGGCAGCCTCAGGGTGATCAATCCTTTAGCTGGGCAAAAAAAAAGACACGTGCCCTCAATACATGGAACCTCCGTTGAACAAAGGGGTAGAGGGTCTTTTATACAAAAATTCGGTGTCTGGTGCCATGCTAGGGTCTGCATTTGGCAGGGCCTGATAGGCTAGTGATGAGGTAGTATGACAATATTGCCCTATAGGAATTTTCGTGATGTATGCGTGATCCCCTCGTGGACAGGACCAGATGGGGCATAGTTAGTGTTAGACAATTATGTTTTATTACCCTATGTTTACTTTTTCCCTTGCCCCTAAGACTGGTCAAGCTACGGTCAAATGAGGCTTATCTGTAAGCACTATCTAGTCATGCTCACCTCCCTATTTTTTGGCGCCTGTGAGTCCCAGAATGCCTATAAGATCAAATTCCATTCACAAAACTGCATTGTGCTGCCCATGCTCCTCTGAGTATCTGGGTTTTGTGTGAGGGGCCTTGTGTGGCAGGATGGGCTATACGCGAAGGCCGTGGACAGAAAAAGCCTGCTTTACAACAAATATAAATTTCCTCTTTGTATTGTGAATTAGGTGCACACGGTGTTGGAAGAAGACACATAAAAAATACACTCATCACAAAACACCCAGACAGATTTGCATACCCTATTCCACGTAAGTAGCAATGTTAAATTTGACAAAAAAATTATGTGTTACTTATAAGATATCGCTAGTTCATTATTGTGTGGGTAATTGTACTCTGTTAAAATTTAAGTATAAGTTGAGGGTGGTTGAATCATAATACTGAGGGGAAGAGGGAGGGTTTGCTATGGAAAAATGCAGTCAATTCTTGCGCCTAAGTATATACAACATTCTTTTTATTTGGAACGTTTTCATACTATTCACACACAACCTGTTTTTATGGAGGCATCCTACCCCCAGATGTTTGACATTTTAAAGTTTAAACCTAACAGTCACTTTACGTAAAAGATAATATATGTGAGTATTTAGCTGTGTGTGTCTGTGAGAGTCAAGATAGGAGAAGGTCTTAAGGTCACAAAATTCCCAGGAAAAGAAATGTAAATTGGATTTTGATTAAATGTTTTATATGTTTACCTTACTTCACTGTTTTACACTGTTACATACAACCTTGAGGACTGTGACTTTTAAGTTTCCGTAAAATTATCCAGAGATGGGAACAAGAGCAAAATGCAGTTCACTTTACTCTTTTCAAGTACCATCTTCAGTTCTTCTTCATGACCCTGCTGCCACAGATCCCCACTATAGCATGGCCCTCCAACAGGAACCCCAGAACTGTCTGAAGTATAACTAACTGAGGATATAAACACCTTCCCTAGCTAGCCATCCTCAGTTTCACTCTCTTCACTGGTGTCAGAGGCGCAGAACCCAAAAGATCCCCTTTGCTGACGCTTAGACACTACAGTGATAAGGGGTGGCATAATTTTGTCAAGATTCTGATATTTCTTGTATGCTTTTTGTTTTATAATGAGGGTTAGATGAGTTGTCGTTACATAAAGTTTGTTGTTTTTACAGTTAATGTATGTGCTTTTTAGAACCTATCTGTGCTGGCCAATGCAGAAAAATTATAGGGGTTTAAGAAGAGTTCTTCTTTACACACAGACGCCTTCCTTATGCTGCTTACTCCTACTGCCTCAGCTTCCTTCCCACTGAACTCCCTCTTAGAACCCCTTCATTGTGGCTTTCCATTCTTTTAACTGAAGCCATCTAAGGTCACCAGTGACTCTCACCTGGCCAGTTTTTCAGAGTTTCTCTCCCTGCAGTACAGTCATGTTGATGTAGATCAGAACTCTATTCCTGGTCCCCTCCTTTTCTCCTATACACTTTCTCCCCCTCTGCTAAACTGATCCATGGTCACAGTTTAAACTACTGTGTATATTAGGGATGTTTGAGTTAACCAATTAACTGATGCTTATTGGTGAATGGTATCAGTTACATTCAGCCGGCTCCCAGGAAGACAGATTCACTGCCACAGAGCAGCGAAGCCTTCTCCCTGGGAGCCAGACAGGCAGCAGCTGGCTCCACTCCTGGGGAGGTGGCTTCATTGCTGCAGCAATGGGGAGGCTCCGTTGCAGGTTCCTCTGCTCCTGGAGAGGCTTCACGGCAGGCTCTGCTTATAAAGCTAAGCTTAGCTTTATACTGCAGAGCCCACAGCGCATGTAACCGCTAAGATCTTTAGCAGTTACGCTGTTACCATATCGCACAATTTTTAACATCTCTAGTATATATGCTGATAACTCCTAAAAATCTCTCAGTCACACTGTCTGGAGTAGTTCACAACCATGAGTACCAGCCTCAGGGCAGACTGTCAAAAAGCAAAACAGGCAATCCAAACTGATGGTATGTTCTGTAATTATCTTTCATCCACCCAGTAACAAATGTGAACTTGTAAATCAATGTAGAAGTCTTACCATGTGTCACATCCTGTTCCCTTGAGCACTCCAGTCTCTCTTGCCACCCAGGTAATAAATGGTCACTTTCATCAGAAATCACAAAATATTCAAGTTGTTCCCAGTCCCAAGATACTAGTCACTTACTTCTAGTTCAGTTTGTACCTTAGATCTCAAACCAAAGACAATGCTGGTAGCCAATCTTATAGTAAACTAAGTATTTATTAACTAGGAAAAAGACACAAAAGTTATTTACCGGTTAAAACGCAACATATCAGCATAAAAGAGTTATATTCTGTGGTTCTGAAATGTGGCAGAAATGTTGTAATCTGTCCAACAAATGTCTTTGTGAGAGTCCAAATGGCAAAAAGAGAATTATTTTTTTCTTGTGAGTGTCTTTATATGACCATGCCCCAGAGTTCAAACCATTGGGATAATCGTTCCTGCGCATATAAAACTTCATGCGTGGATTGGGCAATCAGCAAAGCTTTTGTCCTACATAGGTCCATCTGGTTTTTATAGTTCTTTATGATAGACCGGGCACCCACCCTTCCTGCCTAGATTTACAAGTTCAGAGCAGACATTTTTACAGTTAAATAGCAAAAGTTGTGTATTACCCTATAGCAAAGGATAAATTAGATTAATGTATTTAGCAACTTTCGGGCATCTTTACAAGTCTAATACCATACTTCAGTAATATTGAGATACAGTGAGCTCATCTGATTTCTAGTTATGAATTTCAGTGCTCGCTTGCCCCTGAAGCCTTGGCAATTACTGGCACCTGGTTTTACTAGCATCGCACTTTCCTCTCCCCACATTCCTTTGCCCAGCAGCCCATAGCATCCAGGAGAAGCAATTGCAGTGAAAGTTCTGCACAGACCCTACTGCCCTGTACTAGAGAAATCTCAGTGGATAATTGAACTATCAAATTCTGCACATCTCTTCTGAGCCTGTGAGAACTGTGATTTTTCAGAAGCTTCTAACTTGGTCATATTTGGGTGAATGTTCATGAATACATAGAAAGGCATATCCCTGACATTAGTATGACTCCACTCCCTGCCAAATATTGTGTCCCCTTTCCAAAGCATTGAGATACAAGAGCTGCTGATCTAAATGAGTGTGTTTCAAAAAAAGTTTGGCAAATTTATAATAATTTGAAAATGGTGTTATAAGGGGAAGTTCTGGGCGACCTTAACTATTGTAGGTACTATGAGATCTGTCTGCAATACCAGAGTATATAAAGTTGAGGAAAGGGGACTAGAGGAGAGAGGAAGAGGAGCGGGATGAGAGGTGGTGAAGGAATTTTCAGAAGATGGGCCCAAAGCCTTAGATCTGGAGAGTTAGAATGGTGTCTTGAAGTCCAAGATTAGATTGAAACAAGAGAACTAGGTAGAGCCTTGCAAATCCACAGATATTAATGGGTATCCTCATCCACAGATGTGGATGCAGATATCCATGACTCATTTTTTCAGATATAGATGTGGATACAAATTTTGTATTCAGAACCTTGAAAATGTGCAGATATCTGTTTTATATCCACTGGTATCTGTGCATCTGTGGATATGAATGCAGATATCCACAGCTCATTTTGAGGATACAGATGTGAATAAAAAATTTGTATCCATGCAGGGCTCTAGAGGTAGGAAGGAGTGTGCTAGAGACCTCTTACGTTGGTGAATTCTGATTGAGGAGGGGGTTGAAGGCAGGCCAGTGTCACTGGGGGGTTGAATATGCAAGTGTCTATTGGGGTAGGGGAAGAGAGAGGGTTGTTCACCAAGGAAGAAGGAATGCTTGCAGGATTTCAAAAACCTGTACTTGAAGCCTACACATACTTGTGATACAAGCTCCAAGATCAATTGAATTAGTAGTGCCTTCCACCAAACTAAACACCATTCTGTGCTAGCAATTACGCAAAAATGCGATACACATATACCTTAACAGAATGCCCTTCTCCTTGCACCTTTGAAGTTCAAAAGAATCATTTAAATAATAGCTGACAGTTAACATAAGCCTTTGTCCAGCAAATGAATAAAACCTTGAAATATGTAAAAAAAAATAATCAAAATTTATAATAATTTGGGCAGTGGGTTATTACATGAATAACTACTAATGGGCCAACAAAGAATACAAATCTGAGATTGTGTCCTTTCGTATTTCTTGACATTTCAGACACAACCAGACCTCCCAAGAAAGATGAAGAAAATGGAAAAAATTATTACTTTGTATCACATGACCAAATGATGCAGGATATATCCAACAATGAATATTTGGAATATGGCAGCCATGAGGATGCAATGTATGGGACAAAACTGGAAACAATACGGAAGATCCATGAGCAGGGACTAATTGCAATACTTGATGTAGAGCCTCAGGTACTTACTATAAATATATAAAAATGCAAAGCTCATCAGAGCCACCTGAATTTTATTTTATTACATTCTGTCACTTGTCATTTTTTACCATAAAATTTAAGACATTAATGTATGCATGAATTATGTGTGAAAAGTTTTTAGTATGTGGGGCAATGGTTCTTTCTACACAGGGACTTCAGTGTATGAAATCATCTTCTACTGATCATTAGGGTAAAAATAAGAAGTAGATATGTGCTCACAGTTTGGGTTGGCAAGGGACCAATACAGCTAAAAAAAATCTGCTTACTGCACACTTTAACAAGGGAAATTATTGTTACATTATTGTTCACTGCACTTAGCTGTCCAGTGAAGCAGCTGATTGTCTTTCCCTGCCAGCTGTAATGCATTCATATGTTCAGCCCTAGATTTTACTTTGATACCACATGCAGAAGGGAATTTTGTTCTGCATTGTCCTAACTTCTCCCTACTTCCCTGTTATTACTAGGTCAGCAATCCCAGAAATAGCATTCTTTGTCAATCACTGATGCTATAGGAAGATTTTGCCAATAGAATACTACAGTTATATTTATTAATGTCTTTGTGTGTGTTATAGAATCAGTGAGTAGGTAAATTTACAAACTCAAACACTATGAATACTATATTTACTGTCTTGCAATCTTGATATAAAATCATGAATGGAGCATTTTGACTACATTTCCTTTGGAACATCCCATATTGATGAATTTCAGTGGATGACAGAGTATTTATATATTTTATTTTTAGCTGGGATGCCTTTAAATTAAATTAATCTTCTAGCAGGTTAAAGGACATGAGGAAACAAGAGGCCAGTCTTGCAATAACTTGCAGGAATCAGTTACAAATATGAGTGGTATAACCCAGAAGACATTATTTCACACTAGCCACTGCTTTGGTTTGCAGGGTTCATCCCCATGTGTGCAAAATTAACTAGTATTATCTGCTCTTTTTCTTTTGTGGCTGGATTATTGAGATAATAGATTTGGTTCTGGACAGTGCAGTTAATGGATTTTGTCTCACCTGACCGGAGACCTTCAGAATAAAAATAAAATCCCTGACTGCATTGTATAATGCAACTCACCTAATTCGTTGAAGTCATAGTTGTAGTTATCCATGAGCCCAGTTCTCGTGAATTACCCTGTTTCTATATATTCCAAGTACAGGCATCCTCAGTTCTGTGAGCTTTTTTGATTCAGGTAACCACATTTGTAGGGTGCCCTCTTTTTTCTGTAGAAATGATGCATAACTGATGATATCCGACGGTGGATTTCAAGCAGCAGAGAGGGACATCAGCTCAGATGACTGTCAGACTGGTTTAAAAAACAAGGGGTCATCTTTGTACTGCTTTGTAGTGAAATATTATTGTCTTTCACTGTATGTTTTGCTCAGGTAGATGAGATGACCTAGGTTATGTTTGCTAGCTACCTTCTCCAAGTTTCATTCTGGATCAGGCTAGGAGAAGGGCCTCCCTGTCAGTGTTCCCTCTAAGCCAGGGTTTCCCAACCTATGGGTCGGGACCCAATTATGGGTCGCCATTACATTTCAAAAGGTTCACCAGATGTCTCCCCAGGTGGCTCTGCCCCCTCTTCTCCCCCCATTTTTGAATTGCCTTGGGTCACCAAGTCTTCCTGAATTGTCAAAATGGGTCCCCATCTGGAAAAGGTTGGGAACTGCTGCTCTAAGCTATGTAGCAGCAAAGCTTCATAGGTGATTCATCAGCCCCACCCAGTCAGTCAGCTCCATGTGGGAGCCCTGAGTCTCTGTCTGTGTAGGACTGTTTAATCATAGCTTAGAGGGAACACTGCTCCTGGTAGTAGGACCTCATTTGTGGAACTACCCATGTCACTCATGAATCATAAGTGAGATTAATCATTGTCTTTGCATTTGCCCTTCTGCATAGAAGTGTCTTGCAATCAGTGCATTCATGCTTTGAAAGTTTCATAGTTTTCACATCACAACATTTTTGCTGCAGCAAAAATAAGCTTAGCAGTAGGTTGAACAATGTCCTCATCCAGAAAATGTTTTGTTATGCTATTTTAGCCAGCATTTACTATAAAGTACTATTTACAAATTGATACATTTAAAATACCAAAGCACAAGTTTTTCTGGCTAAGGCAAATTCTTCAACCTAAATATAAACTGATTTTTAGTTTTTTTCTATAGGAAAAATATCCTGCATATGAAATTTTGGATGCTTTCGGTACCTTGGCAGTTTTTTTATGATGATGAACTTACAATTTGGGCCCCAACTTTGCAAAGACTTAGTGGAATAAATGGGATTGCAAACTTAAGCACATCTGTAAGTCTTTCCAAGATCCAGGGTCTTAATTTGTACCATATATTTTAAAACTGATACAGCGTCTTGTTAGTTCTTCCCTCTGTTTTTTTAAATTTGTGGCTTGCTGATTGATTTGTTCCTCTTCTTCAGTTTGTAATGTTTTTTACACAGGCATTGAAGGTCCTGAGAACTGCAGAATTTGCTCCTTTTGTTGTTTTTATTGCTGCTCCTACGATTACCCCAGGCATTAATGAGGTAAGGCTTATTACAGGCAAATGTTTTATCAGGAGACACAATTAAAAGGAATGAGATCAACATTTTAAATGACCTGTTGTCTGTAATGGTGGGGTCAGAACTGAGATGATTTTACTGTATAACAGATTTTTTTTTCCTAAATTTGTATTTAAACTTGAGCTGCAAGAATCCATGCTCTGTCACTACAAGGGAAACATTTCAGAATACTCTTAGCTCTTCACAAAACAACTTTAACATTAGTTGATATGTAGATCAGTATTGATAATTTTGTATCCTTTTAGAATATATTCAGTTTTATTTTCTCCCTGCCTAAAAGAACTGATTCCAAAATCCTTGCTGTGGCCATTAAGCCAACGGATTAGTACAAGAATTTCCAGTCTACAGTAACTCCTTACTGTAATATTCCACCCTCTGACTCCATCACCTTAACCAAGCTTCACAATTATAATTTTTGTGTATAGTATTGTTTGTGAAAACTGTATATGTTTATACATACCGTATATACTGTTTGTGGTCTGCTGAAAAAAAATGTCCTGCAACCTGGCCCCCCTCCCCATTTGCATTAATTTTATGGGGAAATTGGATTTGCTTAACATCATTTCACTTAAAGTAACACTTTTCAGGAACATAACTACAATGTTAAGCAAGGAATTACTGTACTTCCGTCTTATGTCTTCAAGCAGACGGAGGAAGCTACTACCAGGTTTCATCTTTGACCAAGAAATTGCAAAGTTACATGCAAGAAACTAGCTTAATTAAATTCAAAGAACATTGTGATGCTCAGAATAGTGAACAAAACTGGAACCAAAACCTGCTTATGAGAAAATTTTAAGTGTTCATGTTCAAAGCAAATTTATATGAATAAAGACCTCAAGATGTAGCTCAAACAAAACTTTTGTATAAAAGCATTTTACCAATTCCTTCCATTTTTCACTCTAGTAAGGTGTTAATTGTATTTGTATATGAATAAGAACTTTTTCTCATTATCAAATCCCTCTTCCATCTCTTTGATCCTGCAGATAAATAATAATCTTGTGTTTGTGGCAACAGTCTCCATTCACGGACATAATGTGTATGATTACACAAATACAGAATTAGGACTTTGCTACAGACTCTTGCAGATAAATAATGAGCCAGAAAGGCTAAAGATGTTCAAACACAAATATACTGTAACCTCCATACTCTGGGTGTCCCTAATTCAGGAACACCCATTGTATGGACCCTGTCCGGGGGAGGACGAAGTGGCTCTGCACACTGCCGCTCCCCCTCCTACTTCAGCTGGGGGAATAGCAGTGCAGCAACACACTCTGCCGGAGGCTTTTCCACGCCACTCCCATAGTGGCAGGAGGCGGTGCTTGAGAGTGGCAGGGGATGCAGAGTGCCAGGTAAGCATCCTACCCTCATAGCCTGGAGAAATGTTTAATCAAGCAAACCCTGCTTCCCAGGGTTGCCAGATTAAAGAGGTTCAAGTGCACCATAAATAATTACTTTACTGGCAAGAAAATTTTGGAAAACAAGTGAAAGACAGATGGCTTTGTTTTAAGTGTTAAGTTTCACAAACACAGAAATGAAGATGTCTCAAAATCTGGTTTTAGCTATGTTAAAATGATGCGGTGATCATTCCTCTGAGACATTGCTGATGTTATCACTTACTTTAAATTTATAGGAGCAAATATTAAAATGTTGCATCTTCGTCCCCTGTAATGGTAGAAAGCCTTTTGCACAGCAGGTTGCATAACACTGTTTTTTTTGTTTGTTTTTTTAAAAAAAAAGCTCAAGAGTGTGGATTGTTATGTAACTTTTCCAACTGTTGTAGCTGGAGCTAATTGGACAACTCATTGTAAATGCACAAAAGCCCCCGAAAAACTTCAGTACTATTTAAGTCTTTTGGCCCAAAGTTGTTCTAGAATTATCTGATTCCTCCAGTGTATTCTTTAAAATCTTTCTTTTGACCATTTGGGAGTTCATGTTGCAGAATGTAAGTTGGCGGAGAATTGGGAGGGAGAATATGATAAAGCAAATTGCTGTTTGGGAATGTACTGAGCTACAGTGTGGGCATGTGCAAGTTTGGGCTTCCCCCCCATTGGAATGGATGATGTAGAGGAAGTTGAACCAAGAAAGATTTGGGTTCAATATTTAGTCTCATTATTATGCTCTTATGCTGTATTTTTTATAAGTTTTGTTTATTGTTTATGGCCTACATCCTGCAAATTGATCTTTGGCATAAAAATTCATCCAGGTGGACTAAACTGCAAAATCAGTCATGCTTTAATGTTTTGAATACTTGCTAAAACTGTCACTACGAACCATTAACATTCACTTTTAAAAGCAAATAATAATACTGGACACTAGTGTAAGTTGGGGTCCTACTCACCTGGATTTATTGTGCTGCATGAGAGAGGGAATGGAATCTATATAGGAACTGTGGCATTACGTGTTTTAGTATGCATACTTCATATTACTCATTCATTTTTTCTTTTACAAAAGATTCATTTGCATAAAGAACATCCTTTTCTGTTGACTTATTTATCCTGCTTTGTTTCATTTTACAAACATCTTATGCAAACACTTTTGTAAATGATTGTCTTTTATCCTTATGTTTTTTCTTGAATTATCATCTTTGCCTTTCTTTTCATTTTCCTGCACACGTATTCATTTTACATAGATGCCAAAATGGTGCAGAAAATTGCCTGTAAGTACCAGCAAGGACCTGATAAGATGCATTCCTGACTATTTTAATAGATTTAGAATTTAGACATCCCTGTTCCCACTCACATTACTTTTGCATAAAAGTATAAAGAAATAAAGACTTCAGACATCTGAGCTAAAGCTCATTCAAATGGAAGGATTATTCGTTGGCAAAAAGAAAAAAGGATAGTATAAAAAATAAGTGAGCCTAGAAACTTTTATTCCTACTCTAGCAAATAAACATTATGATTTTGTAGTTGACACAGTTCAAATGGCCTTATCCTGCAATGTGTATCTTAGACATTTTAGGGGATGTCCAGCATCTCCAACTTACAGTTATACCACTGTACCTGAGTAAAACACAAAATAGAGTGCCTTTCTGGGTAGATATTGCATGGTTCTGGTGGTTTTATGAGGCACAAAACCAAATGCTTAATATCATCAACCACATAATATGTAATAACCACCAGAAAAGAATGGCCAGGCGTATCCTACTTCCTAGCACACAGAAAATACAAATCTTAGAGGTTTCCATGCAGATCTGTAATTTTTAAATTAAAATTTTAAATTATATCCCTTCTGGTTGCCAAGCTAACCTTCACAATGTAAATAAAGGTCTTCATGGCATGTTAGCTTTGAAACCTGATTGTGGCCACTTACAGACTTACATAAATCGTTTAACAGCTAATCACCTTATTGGAAACATTTAGCCAAAGCTGTTATCCAGCTAGATATATCACTTACATTCTGATATCCAGGATTTTTTAAAAGATGTGCATGAATAATGCTGTAAATTGGAAATACACAGATAAGTGATAATTCTGTCATATATTCAAATTAGAAATGGGCCCAAACCAGAAAGCCTTGATCTGGCTCCTGAAGCTTTGCATCTCAGGCCAATCCTTAATTTAGTAAAGTAAAATATTTATTATTGTCCTCAAGAATGTCAGCTAAAAGTAACATTCTGCATGTCCATGGGGATAAGTAGCGTAGGTCTTCTAAAATGTATTCTCCTTCGCTGCCTATAAAATATAACCTAGAAGACAGCAACAGTTAAATGCTATAATCTAATACCCTCTTTGTTTTTTGCAAAATCTAGGGCGAGAGCCAAGTAGAAATAAAGATTTAAGAACAGCTCCTCTCATTCTTTTCCTGTCTTTTTTTTTTAAGAAATATGTGTGTGTTTTACAGACTCCCTGTAGATTTCTATGGTCTCTGCTAATTTACTATTATAAAATAGGTAGCTTAGGTTCAAAAGGTTATATCCATACATTTACTCAAAGACTAACAAATTTACTTAGGCATACGCTTTCATGGGCTAGACGTGAAAGCTTAATCCCAATGATATTAAAAATATATAGTCCCGTGGCTTCAGATTTATACTCATTTGAAATGTACAGTGTCTAGTACTATATATTTTAATAGTATTGGGATTGCAGACTTAAAATGTACCTTTTAATTCGATATCTTGAAAATACAGAAGCTCCACAAGTGTAATTTTTCACTTTGTAGATTAATTTCAATACAAAGGGGTCAAGTCCTCAGCTTTTAGAAGTCATTGTGGCTCTGTAGAAGTCAGTTGAGCTTTGGTAATTTATGAGAGCTAAGGATTTAACCATAGTTGCTGCGTTATTTTAGAATGGATGTTCTAGTAGTGTATTTAGCAGAGTCTGAGGCTTCTGTGTGTCAGTAGTTGAGAATAGCATAAGCCAGATCTGAATGCACCTTTGTTTTCACAGAAGGCCCATGTGCTGTTTTGTGTGCATTAATGCTCCTCAAAAGAACATTCTTAGTACATGTCTGTATGAGGAGTACTTGGCTACATTTATGTTTGAATGTAGTTTTCAAATATGGAGAGAGTGAGTCATCTGCTGTTGACTAGTAGGGACTGTACACAGTGGCAGATTTAGTTAATGGAGCCTTGTGCTCAGCTTCCTTTTTGCCCCCACCCCCACCCCCGAGACCCAGCCAAGAAAGAGCATTCACTCTTCCTGCCCCTCCCAATTTCATTCTTTTTTTCTTCATCTTCCTTCTATATTATAAGTAATAATAAATAAATGAAAATAAAGTGAGGTGCCTTGATTGTTTTTGTAGTCTAACTTTTTTTCATAGATCACTAGAAAATTGCACAAGGTCTCGGGTGGACCACTTAATGATCTTTTCAGATGTTGTTTGTACCATTAGCTAACGTTTGTGAAGTGCTTCAGATAAGAGCACTTTGTATATAAAAAAAAAAAAAAAAAGCATAATCTCCATGGCCACGGAGGACTGTTTCAGGTGCCCCAGTGGCCTTGTGCTGGCTGGCCTGGAGAAGTGGGCAGAGACCCACATGCGCTGTACCTAAACGGGGGGGACACAGTTCCATTGGCCACTTGAGCCTCCCCACCCCGGGCTTTCCATCTCCTGGCCACTCTCCCTCTCACCCACTCACCACGTGGCAGCCAGAAGCACGAACATAAGCTGGAAGGCTTCAGAGTAGCACTAGATAGCCGCACAGCCGGTGGCCAGGGAGAAGCCGCACTTTCTTGCTTTAAAGCGCTGCTTTTCTCCAGCTGGCCATGTGGCTACCCCATGCCTTCCAGCCTGTGTTTGCATTGCTCGCTGCTGGCTCTGCTGAGGCTGCAGCCTGCAGGTGAGCCTCTCTGCTCTCCTCCCCCACTCCTCTCTGCAGAGGCACTGTCCCACTCCCACAAAGTTGGGCTGCCTCCCCGGGGGACGCCGTGTTGTTGGGGGGGCCCCGTGCCAGGGCATTGTATGTTTCATCGTAAATCCACCTCTGACTGTACAGTTTAAAATGCTTCAGAAAAGCAGTAACTCTTATCAAGATCTTGAGATGAATTCAAGAAAATGGTTAGTTTCATGGTATAGGAAAGAAAAAATGCCTCCTCATAATTCCTCCCACTGAATGCTGATTTTTTGATGCCCCCAAAGGTGAAGCCACCACGTCTTTTTCTTATTCAATTTGGAATTAGAATACAGTCTCAGCTACACAATGCAATGTTAAGATCGTTCTAGAGAAGGAGAAATTAAACAATAATACAGAGTGAGAATTTCCTTAGATTGTCCACAGAAAATATTTATTAAAGTAAAAGGAAGTCATACTCAAAGCTCATGCTGAGTAGTAAATGCATTGTGTCATGCCTTCAGTATTGTTGTCTGGATAAATGCCAAACAGCTTGTATTTGTGAACTGGGTATGTTTTCATTCATGACCTGGCACACTTTCCACATTTGTACTGGTTCTGTTATAACCCTCATGCTCTAACCCTTGTCAAACACTTCCCAAAAAATTAGATAAGTGTCCTGATGTGTCTTGAGTAACCCTTGTTGGTGAATTGTGATTTTGTGTAACATTTGTATAATAGAGTGAAGCAACTTGCACTTTCTTCCTTGTACTATACGTGGTATTTAACATTCTGTAGGGGGGGCATCAGTCACTCATGAATTCTTAGATTAGGTTTTATTTTTGTTGTTCCATCTCTGTGACAAACAGAAAACTGAACAAAAGTATCTAATTTATTTTTCTCGTTTTCTTTTCCAATCATTGTTCAGGATGAGTCTCTTCAGCGCCTGCAAAAGGAGTCTGAAATCTTACAGAGAACATATGCACACTACTTTGATCTAACAATTATCAACAATGAAATTGATGAAACAATCAGGCATCTGGAGGAAGCCATTGAGCTTGTTTGTACAGCATCACAGTGGGTTCCAGTCTCCTGGGTCTATTAGGCCTTTCACCAGATAACTGAAGAATTTTGTCAATACTGGGAACCACCTCATACATGGAAAACCTCTTTGTTATTGACCTTGTGTCAACAGATCTTGGCCCCTAGAGACTACCTAGATGTAGTGTGACCTAAATTTATAATTATTGTCATGTCCTAATAGATAGGAGGAGAAAAAAATTAAACACTAATTTAAAGAGACAGTATCTTTTTTAATCAGTTCTCCTACACTTTAATAAAATGTATGTTTCAATATATGTATTATTCAATCCTTTGGAATGTTATATTTTTGGAAATCATAGCTTTTTATTTCAAAGGCCCCTAAAACTGCACAAAATAGATGCTGCTTTCTATAATCTATTTTAATTATAATAAAAATGATTGTTACCTTAACTTGGGGGTGAAACATGACATTCTATTTAGAGTCTGATTTTATGGATAGGGATACCTTGCTTTCTTTTATTTATTTGAAATAATTAGTCTAGTGATTACAAAACGAATTCATAAATTTTAAAGGCCTTTCTTTGCTTTTTTTTTTTAAGAATAGTATTTTTAAGTACTTTTATGTAACATCCAGATAATGTGATACTGTCTCTTTGAAGAACTCTGTAAACCTTTTAGAGATTTGAAATTGGGTCTTGACTCTTAATGCATGTGGACAGTCGCAAGCGTTCATGCCGTTGGTGTATCTGTGTTGAAAAAAAACCTGTAATCTACAGCAAAATACATTCCGTTCATGGGAAAAAGTACCCAAGGGAATAAAATCAAATATTATTATGACTAAGTTGTAAACCTATGCACATCCCTTGCATTTTGGGCAACTTTATAAAAAACTGATTTTTATTAATAATAATCATGTAGTGAAATGTGTTTGTAATTTTGTCTCAATTTAATTTGTTGTAAGGTGGGCGGGGGAAATTACTGGTTTCACCATTTCAGATCTGTGTTGTCTGAGAGTATTAACGTTTTAATTAAGTTGAAGCAAAGAAATGCTGATTTTTAATATGTATGTAATTGTTTAAAAAATGCACACATTTTAAGAGAAAATACTGTGCAATGAAAAAACCAGTTTAGGCAATGCGATAAACTGGCTATTCCAAAAGACTCATCTACAACAGCCCTGTAAATTCCTTAAAAATGGTAACTGACTCTACAGTCTGACCAATTTTTTTTATTTTAAATATACTTCCTTTTATGTGTTCAACAATTAAATGCCTTTGGGTCCTTCATTTCATCACAGATTTCTCCTAGTAGTTCTGAAAACAGCTCACTCTTGCATGTTAAGAAACCTTTTTTGACCATACTTCAGTTAATCAAAGACTCTGATGTGAATACAGGTTTATCATGGGGCTCTGAGTGCACAAACTGCATAAACACAGCTAGTCCAATTTATGAACTAGAGCAAAGCCCAAGAAAGCAAATTCAGCCACGTGTTCACTTTGAAGCTCTGAGGTTTCTTTCCTCATTGTATGTCCCCAGGCACAGGTGGATTACGTTTCCTCCTAACGCAGCGGAATGAAATTGAGCGTTATCAACACAATTCATGATGACATACTCTAGCTCGTCAGAGGTGACAGAAGTATGATGATTCTGAGTCTTTTTCTTAAGAACTCAGTTGTTTGTGTTATTGTATAACATGAACTTTAGCTTGTGTGTTAAATTAAGATATGGCCATGAAATGTTTACCCTCATAGTTAAAATGTGATTGACCTGCTGATTGTTTCAACTGCTTGGGGACACTGCATATAACCAAGGTATGTCTCACTGTAAAACCTTTTTTGAGAGACTAAAAGCTTAAAACACATAGGTGGATACTGTCTTTCCTGCTGCCCCTTGCAGTATAGACCATGCTGATTCTGTGCTCTTTTCTCCTTGTAAAGTCCCTAGGCAGCCAACAGAGTATCTTAGGGTCCACCAATACTTCAGATACAGCTAAATCATTTTGGTTGCAACAGCTGTTCCAATCTGTAGTGTAGATGGAACTTTGATCCAAAGCTTCCTCCCAGTGACAGGATTCAGTTACAATATACACTAGAACAAACATCTTGTAATTGAGTCCTTTGACTTACTTATATTTGTGATGTTTTTATACAGGCTATTGGGAATCTACTAATGAAAATGTTCTTATGGACCCTCACCTATGAAGCCATAACAAAAGCTTGACAAGGAATGACAAAAAGTAAATTAAATTGTTGGAAGTTGTTCATCTGTTCTACCGGGCTTTAGCATTTCCAGAATGTTTAAAAAATAGACTGTAACCATAATAGTAAGTGAAAATCCAGAAATAATTGTTAGCACTAACTGGTGCTGTACCATTGTAATTATGGTTGCATCTAAGCAGGCATTTTTGCAGACCAGCTATTCATATGGTGGCATTAGCTTTAGCTCAGTGCTAGGTTACTACACTCTTGAGTACCTCTATTCCTGATAAAGCACAAGGATAAACAGATAAAACAAAATGGAGTAATGAATAATTCCTGTTCTAGAAACAGTTGTCTTCTGCGGTAAGCATCTATATCTCTTACTTCACTGACACCTTCGGGTATGTCTACACTACCCCGCTAATTCGAACTAGCGGGGTAATGTAGGCATACCGCACTTGCAAATGAAGCCCGGGATTTGAATTTCCCGGGCTTCATTTGCATAAGCCGGGTGCCGCCATGCTTATGCAAATGAAGCCCGAGAAATTCAAATCCCGGGCTTCATTTGCAAGTGCGGTATGCCTACATTACCCCGCTAGTTCGAATTAGCGGGGTAGTGTAGACATACCCTTCTTTATTTTCAATGTTTGTAAAATTAAACAGGTATGTATGGTAACTTGGATGCTTTTTAGACCATAATCCATCAGAAAGAAAATATGACTGCAGAGTGCATTCTGATTCTGTCCGTTTGAATAATGTAGAGATTCTATACAGCCAGCCTCCTAGAAAGATATTATTAATAAGCAGTCATCTAATGAAATGGACTTAGGGGAGGGAAAAGAGTGGAATCCCTTATTTAGGTAATGCTATACAGTAATCTCTATCTCAGTAAGCAGCTCTCGGACAGATTTGTTTCTTGATTAAGTGTATCTAACCAAGAGCAGCATAACTTTAAGGAAGTCTAGGCCCGATCTAGATACCATCTCTGCTCCATTTAAGCTGCTCACATGGCAGAAATAGAGTACAAAACCTCCCCAGATGAGGATGTCCCTGGTTTGGGGAAGACTAACAGGTCTAGATCTAGTGTGGTGAGGGGATGTAGCACGCTGTGTTTCAGCTATCCCTAGCTGGAGGATGGCCCCTTATAGTGTGTCTGCACTGGGGTTCGCAGGAAGGGAACTGCAACTATAAGTCTGAGTCTGCTACAGACTTGGGCTCACGGAATGACACTAAAAATAGACATGTGAACCTTCCTGCTCAAAGTCGCATGTGCACGGGGGCTCTTGGCATCAGACAGTTTGAGTAAATTTGATCATAACAGCATGTTGCATCTTCCAGCTTTCTCATGCCTGTGAATTTAGAAAATTTAGGTTCCTCTGTTAAATGTTCTTTAACGTGCTTCCATTTCCCTCATAAAAAGAACCCTATGTGTTATGTTTCAGGATAATAAGAATATTGAATTGTCACTATTAAAATGTTTCCTCTAAATTTCATCTTAAAAATGGCTACTAAAAATTGCAATAGGAAAATGACTTGCATATGCAGACTGTATCATATTTCTTATTGTATCATATTTCTTCTTTTTCATTCTTTGCACAAAGAAAATTGCAGGCCTTTTTACTGGAACCTGAATGTTGGGTATGGTTGCTAAACATACAGTTAACCTTTCAAACGTAGATAAAATATCCAGTCCAAGTGCTTTGTGGTCTTGTTCTACTCTACTAAGATTAAGCCTAAATGCTCTTATTTAAAGCACTTAAAACCTGGGTCTAAGCAGTAACATGTTTGATATGCCAGATTTTCTAGAGAACAATGGAAACCTGCAAAATCTTTTTAATCACTGCAGATGAATTAGAAGTACTGCAACTCAGCTGGTCACCAAATATTTTCTTAGGTCCACTCAAGCAGATATGATGGGTAGGGTATGTGTGCAATTCTGCAGTGTGGACTCGGTAACAGGCTTGGAAAATGTGAGTCTGCAAGTGCATGAGTCAGGATACGGGGACACATGCAGTGTAGACATACCCTCAGGGATCCGTCACATAATAGCACCCAGACACAATGGCGGTGTACGCATTAGATTAACTAGGGGAAAGCATATTTTTCTACTATTGTATAGAAACATAATTTTTGCCATTTTTGTTCTGGCTTTCAATTACACATTGTTAGTGGACCCGGCAACAATTTCTGCTTTCTGCCTGTTAAATTATTCTTAAAAGAATTGCATTCAGCCATCTACTTTGGTCCTTTCGTAAGAGAGGTTAAAGTGCTGAGATCTGTAAAGAAGCTTTTAGCTTATGACCCAGCCTTGTTGTTAAAGGCTTTTTGAATGTCTTATTTCCCAAGCCTGTATTTTATAGAGAACTTTAGTTCTTACTGTGGAAAGATGTTTCTTTTAGCAATAACCAAAGCCAAGCAGGAGTTACTAGCATTAATCGCAAATAGCCTTTGTATTGGTTTTATGAAATGTAATTTTCTTAATCCTCTAGTTCTAGAAAGAAATAAGATTTCCCTGCCTCCCATATCTGTTACTGGCCTCGGATCTAGAGAAACCAGTGCCATGGCAGTCAGGGTCTGAATTTCAGCGGTGCTGGAAGTAGGAGAGGCTGCAGTATCCCCTCGCTTGAAGAGGCTTCCATCCCTCACATACAGTTAAGTTCAGTAGGTCTGAGCCCCTCATTGTACAAATTATTCCAGCCCCCAGGAGTGCTAAGCTGCCACAATTCCAAGTACAGTCGCTGGGAGCTGCTCAGTGCCGCTCCATGGCTGACCCTGAAATGTGATGTCATCTTTCCTTGCACTTGTCTGGCTCTTTCAGACTTGGAGATGAGATGGAAGGAAAAGTGTTTTGCCAGCAGAGACCCACCAGATAAGAAGGGGCATTCACATTGAAATCAGCACGCAGTATTGGTCAAGACATTGATTGAGATGCCTCTTCTCATGGGGCATTTTCATAATGGTTTGCTTTGGCTGTTAGCAAAGTACAGCAGTTGCAAAGTTAACTTGTCCCCGACAAGTAATCGTCACTCGTTTTCTCACCTCTGCAGAGGAAATAAGGCAATGGAAATGAAAGAGCTGCTTTGTGTTTATGTGCACCCCATATTGAACGTCAAACTGAAGGGTCGTTTACTTTTACTTCTTTAAATTAAATAATTCAGGATAGTGAGGTAAGAGACTCTTAAGCAAGAGGGAAAGACATGATCTCTGTCTACATTGGGTAGGTCTACAGAGGGGGAAAAAAGGCCTGTTCTTAAGAGCTAAACAGTGTTACCTAACTCACGTTAAAATAGTGAAAACTTGGTTATTAACTCTGGTTAGCAGGTAAAGTTAAAGAATACAGGGAAACAGATTGAACCTGAGCTGTTAACTCCAGCTAAATATTTTCACTGCTCTTTTAATTAATTAGCCACCGCAGGTTAGCTAACCCAAATTAAGCATGCACTGCTTTTGCAGTGTAGATGCACCCTTAGGGCCAGGGTTGCCAGCACAGGGAGTGTCTATACTTTTTTGAAAAAACCCCACACAATTTAAGGGGTATGTTTGTGGTTTAAGTGATCTTCTGAAAGGTCACCTTTGACCATGATGACTGTGGATTGTTTTTAGAGTGTGGAAGGGGAAAGATTAATATGTTAACATAGAGTAATTGAAAGTGTAATTACTTTGTGCTAATAACCAGAACATCATGTTTGTTTAATTGTGGTGTGGGAACATCAAAATTACAAACCTGATTCTAGGATTTGTTTCTCCTAAAATGTTGCCAATCCTTTTTTCATTCTATTGCTGCTTTTTTATGAAAAGGCTTTGGAAGTATTGTCTCTGTGATAACAGAGGGAGAGTTGTGGATATTATAAAACTCACCGTATCCACCTTAAGTAGTGTAGTGGTGTAATAGTGCACAATGGCACTGGTGTATGGAGGTTGTCCTTCACCACCAGAACTATGAAGGATTTTAAAAGCTTCAAATTCTTCCTCAATATGTCTATTCGCATGCCTTTGAAACATATACGCTCATACTTGCTCTTCTGCCTGCTTGCCAGCATAAATATAAAACTGATGCGAGAGCAAA